AGCTCTGTTCTCTTAGCCTTTCCATATGTTCATATTAAGCTGTGTTTTAAACATTCCATAGTCAACAAGTAGAAATGTTGACTTACTACAATAATTTATTCTTCTGCCCTGCCATGGTAAAACTCCAACTTTTAAAAGGAAACTGGCAATCAAGAAAGCTAGCACTTTTGGGCATGAAACTGAGTCATTTTCATAGAGTGACTCTGCCTGTCTTTTTTTAAATTATAAATTATTCTCACTGCTGGTTTGGATAAAACTAAAATCTATTTCCTGGAGCATTTGATATATTCCAAAAGTGAGTCATAATCAATTTTTTGCAATGGGGAAAAAATCAGTAGGAATGAACCTAGTGATAAATTGAACCTCCTTCTAAACAGTTACCACATGAGGACAATCCCTTGGATGTTAAATATCAAGTGTTTTATTTTTTTTCTTTAGTTTTGTTTTGTTTTATTAAATTAATTCTTTAAAAATTACAAACAATAGTCTTTCCTTCGTTCTATATTAAGGTAGAGGAACTTATTAAATATATCTTCTCCAATTTATTCCCATAATTTTTATGTCATGAGTTTTTTTTTTTCCTTTCCCTAACTAGTCAACCAAAAAAAAAAAAAAAAAAAAAAGCCAGCAAAGTTTAGGAGCAAAGCAGGGAGGCATTAAAGACCAGGATGATCCTATAGCTGCCATGAACAATTCAGAGCCGCAAGGCATGTCTGTCTGTCTGTCTGTCTCTCTCTCCCTTCCTTTCTTCCTTCCTTCCCTCCCTCCTTCCTCCCTCCCTCCTTCCTTCCTTCCTTCCTTCTTTCCTTCCTTTCTTCCTTTCTTTCCTTCTTTTCTTCTTCTTCTTATTTTATTTTATTTTTTTTGGCATGGCATTCTCTAGGACAGACTGTACATGGCTGTTAAATAATGAGCTTTACTTTAACAGTAAAAGGATAAAAGGAAGGATTTCATTTTTTGGGGAAACAGAATTTCTTTTTCTTTTTATAAACCTGAGATCATCATGGCCAGATGGTTGACTGAGCTCGTGCAGAATTTCATACCTTTTGGGAAACTGAGACCAACCAGGAGTGTGCATGGTCCAGGGGGAACAGGTATAGATGGTAGCGTTAACTGACACAAAGATATCTCCAGATTAGGACTCAAGATTTAGTAGTAGCTTATTTTATTATGTTTGGGTATAATTACCAAGTAAATATACAAGATGAAATATGTAATATTTACAGGGTGAAATTTTTTTCTCAGGGGCATCTTTGATGTAGCTCCAATGCCAGCAGCTACAGAAAAAATATACCAGAAGAAAGGTTGCATGCCCAAACATGTGGTTGCCACAGGTATTACTACTTCCATTGATTTCTTTTGGGGAAGGATTTGGATAATATCCTCTAAGGCTAAAATCTCCAATAAAGTCAGAGTGTGAGGAATGGGAAAAGAAACACAATTTCTTATAGTAGATAGCAACTGGATAGTGAAAATAATAGCTTATGTAATTATTATTCTCTGCAATTTCAAAGCATTTTTAATGCAGAGTTATTTTAGATTTTACTCTGAAGATGTTTCTAAAATTCTTAAATAGTTGTTACAATGGTTTTAAAGTCTAACTCTTACTTGGAATCTATTTTTGACAGAAATAATGAGTTATTAGCTGAAATTTTAACTGATATTAATAAGCGCAAAAGCTAATGCCTCAGTTAAACCTCAATTGTCCAGAACATTTTGGTAATTAAAATTAGTATTCAGATATGTTTAAAAACTTTTCTAATATGTATTTTCCAATTCACTGTGTTTAAAACTTAATCTTTAGTAGATGATTCAGTCTTGGATTGTTTCAACATCATTTTGAACAATTTTCATTCCACACAACTATAGATAATGGCAGTATAAGCATTTTGCAAACTGTTTATATGTTAGATTACTTTATAGTCATATAATTTTGACTTCTGAGATTTTCATTTGTTGATTTTGCAGTTAGTGGAATATTGCTACTCATGGAGTTTCTTCTACAATTGTATTTTAATGTAAAAGTAATTACTATTTTGGGGGGTTTGTCCCTCCTGCTCCTTTTCTCTGTTTTCCTTCCTTTTTCCTCCATTTCTCCCTCCTCCCCTTTCTTACTTCCTCCCTCCCTTTCTCCTTCCCTCCCTTTCGTTTCACTTTCATTTTTGTTAACTATTTATGTGATGCGTATGTTGGCCTCTGAGTTATTTGAGAGACAGGATGGGTGAAAAAAGATGTTAACAACTAAACTCCTGATATTAAATGTCTGAAAGTAGCTGTGAGAAAGTGAGGCATGGTATGAAGGAAGTAGCTTCAGTCAATTCCAAAAGTGAAGAGATGTGTTACTGCTTCTTTTCAGATCATTGTAATTCTGAATGGGACAGTGCTGGTGAATACCTTGTTTGCGTATTGGAAGAAAACTGAATTGAGGGTTGTTCCAAAATTGTAAAGGGCTACAGAAATCCAAGATTTTCCAAGGGTTTAGATTCCGTGGTGTGAACTTTAGATTTTCTCTAATGGCACACAAATCTCATTTTTCTTATTTATTCTTCTTACCTTCCAATGCATTTGTATCCCTTCCAATCCTGGGCTCCAACTCATCCACAGGCTCCTGGAAGCTGTCACCCATACACTTACACAGATCTATACTCAAATACATTAGTGGGTATGTTTCAGGTTCAGGTTCAGGGCTAAGTCTTATGCTGGGTTGAGGCCTCTAAGATTGTTTTCTCAGCCTGCTTCATGAGGTTATTATTCCAGATCATGGGAAAGCACTTTAATATGTAATGCCATAGGTCATCTTTGAACTAACAATGCATATTTTAAGGGATATAATGACTGGAAAGAAACACAGGCTTGGGAATTGGCCGGCCCTCAGTGGGACTTCCAGGCTCACTGGTTGGTGGTTGTGACTTTGGGTACTTCTCTGTGTCTCAGTTTCCTCATTTATAAAACAAGGATATCAGTAACCTCTTCAGATGGCTCTTGATGTAATTATGTAACAAAGCTTGGTAAAAGGGCTATTGGCTAGCATAAAGGATATCTAGCCATTTGTTTTGCTTCTTTTTACTAAAATACCTAGGAAGTAAATGTTTATGATGTACTAAGTTAGTGAGATAAAATACTCAAAATGGGAAAATTCTCAATTGATCTGACCACCAGGTTAATTTAATCTTCTTATTTTAGTGACTATCAGACTCCAGATAAAAACTCCCTTTGAATTACAACTTAGCCTTTGATAGAAGACTTTCCCTCTATTTTGAAGTAACAGTTACAGTTGTGTTGAGAAAGAATCTAGTCATTTCATTTGCTATTAAAATATATCCATGAGAAAGATGGAGTATCTTTACTATGTCCATTTATAAAAGTGCAGATTCTTAAGAATAAGTAATATTTTAATTTTAAGAAGATCCAAAACAAATTGTAAACTGGGATTTATCTGTGAGTTGCTATTACTCATTTCATTTCCATGATTCTTATCTATGTTCTTGGAAATGATCACATGTGTTCACTTATATGGATATAATCACATATAATTATTCAGGAAATAAAATTAATTTATATGTATGACTTGTGGAATTAGTCATTACATCTTTTTATTTATTTGTCTATGGAATAGTTGTTATTCTATTGAATGATGAAACTTTCAGTTTTCATTACAACCTTGTGAGAAGCATCACCACTTCAATTTTGCAGATGAAGAAGGAGACTCTGAGAGACACACAACTTGCCAAGGTCACACATATTACAACCCGTTAGTAGCACTATTCTAGCATTCACATAGACTGTTTCACTTAAGTCTTCTCATTTTCTTTATCATCTTGATTTGTGGGAATCTGCCCACTCTTGGCATTAGCTGTATTTATGTGTACTGTTCCCTACCTATGTTTTTCTATTCCTATATTTTTATTACCATTAACATGAACCACTTATAACTCGATAACATCAGAGCAGCAGTGTTCAATCTTTATTCTCTGACAGCCTGTACCTTTCCACTTTGAGAAGTAGGGTTAGGAGAATTTCCAAAGGACACTGTTACTATTGAGGACTTATGAGGGGCATTAACCTGAAATCTGACAAAGGTCAAATGTTCCCTTCCCTGGGACTACAAAGATCATTTCCTGCCCCACTCTTTGATATTGCACATGAGAAATTCGGACCCAGAAAAGTTATGTGACTTACCAATGGTTACACACCTGGGACTTTAACATAAATCTTCTGATGGTAGAACAGAGGCCACCTTCTGGTTACAAAGCAGAATTTGATGACCAGGTCAGGGGCCTGGATCAGACACTCATAAATTTTTGTTGCTGATTTGTCTCATTTCTCATTGTATCAATACGTGTTCTCATAAAAAATGTGATTTGTATGGGAACTTTATCGGAAAGCTGCTAATGAGTTTTTACTGTTTTGAGGGTTTCTAATTTGAATATCATATGATTCCATGTGCCTAAGCATCTATTAGGGTAGATTGAGAATTATAGCTAAAATTAACGTTGTCTTTGTCTTCACCCAGTGTATGTAGATCAATGTTAGTTTTCGTTTCTTTTTCCTTGGTATTTTTACTTAAGTTTTGTATGAAGAATTTAGATCTCTCATGGTCTGGAGGACCATATGGGAAGTCATGTTAGTCCTTTGCCACCATTGTTATATCCTGATCCGCCCCTTCCCCAGGATTGCATATGCAGATAAAGACCTTCCCAATAAGTGCATGTTGAAAGAATAAGGACAATGAGAAACACAGAAAGAGATGCAAAAGCAATCTGGCTACTTATTCTCAAGCACAAAGATGGTGTTTGATACCATCCAAAAGTTTTAAAACATGGAGACAAAGCTTCCACCTAACATAATTCTGCAGGATAATGTTTGTTTCCCTTGGCAACCTAAACTTTAGTTGAAGATAATATTAGAATTACTTTTTACATTGGAAACAGTAGTTTAAAGTAGTTGAAATAATTATGTTGTGTGGACAAAGAAAGAAGGACCAGAGTAAGAAGCAGGAATACATCATTTTCAAGTTTTATATCTTAGAATCGGAAAACCAATTAAGCCCAGCAGTCCACATGAGCAGTGCAGTTGATGGAGAACAGGGCCCAGAGACAGAGAGACAGAAGCAGATTCATTGAAATTCTTCAGAAAGTAGACATGTTTGAGAAAGCTAGGAAGCATGGTGGACAGGGCAGCTGTATGTCCTTCCATTACAGCAGGAAGCCTAAGGGTCATGAGATTCTGTGGTGCATACTCTCAGAGGCCTCCTCCTGGACTGGCTTGGCTGGTCCTCTGTGAAACATTGGTGAAGCCTTCAGCTAGGGTGAAATCAAGTCCCAAAAGAGATCCACAGACTGAGAAAATATGGAGAAGAAAAGGTTAAACACTGAAGATGCAGGAGAAAAACAACATGTAGGAAAAAATGCTCATTTCTAGGCAAAGAAGAGGGAGCAGTGAGACCATTTTGGTAGGCTCATGTGGCCAAAACTAATTGTGTTGGTTTATTAAGAAAGAAAAACTGAATAAGTATCTCCTAATACCCTGTCAGTAAGTCTCCAATGGCTCAGATAAAGATGGATGCAAAGAGAAAACATTGAGAAACATTATATGCTTTGGATTACGCAGGTCACAGTTTCTCCGATTTGGCAGAATTCTCAGGTCTCTACGAGTAACAATGACTCAATAAAACCAACGATAAAATAAAGTGAACTAAACTTTAAAAACTATGAACAAATATATTTATTGTGGTGGCTTTCTCCCCTACTAGATACACCTTGTTAGAAAGTAGTATCCCTTTTAGTTCCAGGTGAACCATTAAGCAGGTAATAAAATCATTTTTCCCTCATTGAGAGAGAAAGAAAACACATGACTTTGCAAACGTGTCATAATCTCCTTGCTCTATTTTTTTGTTTGTTTTCTATGACATCAGAGTTTTCTTCTAATAAGTATGATTTTGTTTTTGGAAGAAAGTTACAGGCACATGTTTACAGACTTATATAATCCAAGGGGTAGCAGAGGCTAAACCACACAGTGCTGACACAGATTGGAGACCTGTTCCAGGAGATCACAACCCTTCACAGTTTGGGAGAGCAAAAAAGTAATCTCCAGTTCTATATTTCTTCCACATTTTGCCTTCCTCCAATCCCATACAGTATATTTATCTCTGGTATGCACTCTCATGTTTCTTGCAGAAGTTATAGGATGTGGACAATAGAAGTAATCTTAAAACAGTTGTTTCTGTGATGATAGATCCTATGATTCCAAATGCCAGGCCCTAATACTGAGTGAGCATTCTCTAGATTTCCTGAACAAAAAAACCCACATTGTCTTAGGACATTGTTTTTCTCCCCCTGATCTTTTCTTTGTTTTCAAGGGATATGGCATCTTTGAATTTTCAGAATTATCTTCTGCTTCTTAAAACAATAGCTCCAAAAATATTTTTATAGGGAAAAGAGGCTTCTTCTCCAGATATCATCATTACATTAATGATAACTTATTGATAATAATGGACAAAATTTTCTTGTGTTTTAAAAATGCTTAGAAGCATGTAAGATAACCATTCATAAGTATCCCTTCTTTGAACTTTTGGCTCTTTGTTGTTAACTATGCTCATATGAAGAATATAGCAACTATTTGCAATGTTGTTTAGACAGAGCAATAACAGATATGTAGTCCATTGTTGTTCTAATGGCTAGAACACCTGTCCTGGGCATCTGGCTGAGATAGCAGCATCATGAGTCTACAATAATCTCATGGGACCATCTAGTGTACTGTGCTGACTGATACCGATTTCTGTGTCTTTTCTTGAACTTTTCGCTTCTTCTGCTGTGGTTTGTCTTTGTTTTCTCGTTGTTCTGGGGTTTCTCTACTGGATTCCAGACCTTTGTTGTCAGGGAGAGCTTCCTTACTTTCTTCTTTATTAAGTTTTTTCCTTTTCCTCTCTCTTCCTTTTTTCCCTGAAATAAAAGGACACTCCTTTAAAAATTATGTTCAATTATGTTCCACTAGGTTTTTCTAAGTTTTTAAAAAATGTCTCATGTTTCACTTGAGCATGGCATATCATACCCATTGATAGCAAATATTTACTCTTTACATCCTTCATTCAAATACTTTTTTAAGTCCTTGCAATATTCCCAACAATGTAAACATGAAATGCATATACAATATAATGACACAACTAGTTTGAACGCTGTAGAATTCTATTCCTATAGGTTTGAGGTGTATTTAACATATTACTTATGTATAGTTAATAAATAGAAAATTTCAAATATATTTCTTACCATCTAAAATATTTACTAATATAAATATTTTATCTAGCTTCTCTTTAAGGTATCATTTTGTATTCAGAATTTTTCAAGTAACATTTACATATTTGCAATCTGACAAGATATATGCAAGCCCTCCAGGAAGAGAATTGATTATCATAACAATATGGAAATAATTCGTGATGAGTACACGATAAATTGTACTTTTTATTAACACAAATATCTGTATTTTGAAATCAATTTATATTTCAATTTCTCTATGTGTTAGGGTGCTATAGATAACTTTTCAATAATCCTGTGGTATAGGCTAAAAGGGCAGGGATTTTTTTAATTTCTATTGACCAAATAAGTAGTTATTTATTGGATATATACTGGATTCCATGGAGACTCTGGACGTTGAACTGGATTTGAAGCATAGATTTATTTATTCAGATTTCAGATTGTGAGGTATTTTTCACAAGAGGGACAAACAGTCCTTTTTCATGTGGGAAGACATATTGTAGCCAACATGGCACCAGGGTGAAGAACGAATTTTATTCCACTGACATTATAAAACCTCTGAGAATTTTAAAGACAGCAATTTAATCAAATTATATGAGCCTGACACCAAATTAGATGTATTGTTTTCATTTCTTTCTAAAAAGTGAGTTAACTAAAGTTCTATTATGCAAACATTTTATATGTTTAATCAACAGTGGAATGGTTTTAGTAACATTCACTAACACATATATACCAAGGAGAAATTACTTATACTCAATTCAGTATCATAGTAAATGGAAACTAGGAACCAAGTATCCCTCAATGTGCAACAAATTCTGAATGTGTAGCCTTGTACACTGGGACATGTAAAATTTAAAATCAGTCTGTCTACAATAAGTAACTCTGGACTAGTTATTTTGGAAAAATTATTTGCATGAGAGAACCAAAGAATTTTCATGTTCTGAAACAGACTGCAAATATTGAATTCAGTGGTTTGGCCCTTCTTTTTCTGAGGTCTGGTTACCAAGTCCTAGGGAGCAGTATTATTAATATTGCATACATATCCTAGGCCAATAGTCTCCTTAGATTAATGATTTTATGCCATAACTAGCTTTGTCAGGAGATTCTATTTACAAAACCTTCCAATTACTTTTATGAAAACTTTTCTTGTTGGGCTCAACATAACACATCTCTACATTTTGAACTCTAGAATAGTTAATAAAAATGAGAATTCAGATAGGGGTAAAGCAAATATTATTTGAGGTATATAGAGATCAACAAAAATACTAGAGGCAATTATCACTTCTAAGTGGAACTAATTATCCACAAATTTGCCATTTCTATTATTCTTTTCACTGTAAATAATATTGCTATGTTGGTGAGATTTCTATCTACCAACAGAATCCAGAGCCTCTTTTTCATGCTAGATTTAATGACTACATATTTGACTTGAACATGGTCTTGAACTAAACAGAGAAAATTGGAGAGTAAATTTAAAGTAAAATTATTTCCTGAATATGCAGCATAATTTAAATTTTATAAAGCTACACAAACTGAAAAAGAGAAATGCTAGTTTTCATAGGAAGTACTTGGTTTTCAGAAGGAGATGCGGCAAAGGTTGGATTACATAATATTTCCATTTTGAAGCATATTTTGGAGGTGTTCAAGTTCAGCTCTGAAAAAAATGTGAATGAAAATCATTCCAAAGTTTCATAAAAATTACTGACCCTAAACAAAATGTTATTTTTATGGAAATTATCCAGAAGTTCAGTGTTTGACATTGTTCTCTTGATGATGATCCAACATCTTACAGCTGTGATCCCAACCATAGTGTTTTAGAAACTTAAGAAATATATTGTTTCTTTCTTGGTTACAGATTGATTTATATGTTTTTTTAGCCACTCTTGACAATATGCTCAACTTGCAGAGCATTTCTGTTTATTAGCAAGCTGATATGATTATTTCTTAAGACAGGCAGAAACATTTTTGGAAGTATCTTGAAACTCACTATTATAGCTTTATTACCCAAGGAAAAACTATTTAGTCTGGGCAGTGAGTGAAAGGGGAAGATCTGGTGAAGTAACAGGAAACTCACACATTCTACACTTTTGCTGCCCAAGAGAGGGTGATTGTGCAATAGAAAAATGGGATTATTATTATTTTTTTTACAGACCATGTGTTAGTGGTTGGAAATGCTAACTACCCCTCTGCATAAATAATATATTTTCCTCCTATCCAAGAAATAAAATAGAAATGCAAAAGAGTGACTGTAGTCCATTAAAAATCATGTGCGATTTAGGGTGATTTTGTAAGGTTTTCATTAAAGGAGACTTCTTTTTCTATTTTTGTGACTCGATGACTTTTCATTGATGTGGTTAATAGTTATTCTATGACTTAAAAAAACATTTCTGCAAATTAAGCCTTCCAGTAATAAAAAATCCACCATGTACATGTTTTGAAACTATGTGTGTAAAATGCACAGACACATGTGTGCCTGAACTGGATTGTGCAGTTATACAATGCATAACAGAATGTTCATCTCTCCTTGGTGTTCTAGTCATGAGGGTGACAAGGACTCTATCCTCATGAATAGATTACTACTGTTATGGGACTGGGTTTTTTAGGAATGAGTTTCTGATAAAAAGGAGGAGTTTCATCAATTTCGTCTTACACATACTCTTTTGTCTTTCCATCATGTTGTGATGTAGTTTCTTAGTTCCCACAAGAAGACCTTCATCAGATGCTGGTGCCATGCTCTTGAATTCCTCCTCCTCTGGAACCATAAATCAAGTAATCTTCTATTCTTTATAACTTACCCAGTCTATGATATTCTGTTATAGCATCAGCAAATGGACTAAGACAGTCCTTGTAGGGAAACACTATGATGTAAGATTTAAGAATGCTGTCTTTAGAGTCAGAAAAACACTGTGTTCAAATTCTAAGTCTGCCACCAATAGTTGGGTGACCTTTGGCAAGTTTCTGATATTTCTCAGGATGAATTGATATTTCAACTATGAATAATCATTATTACCTGCTAAACTTTGTAAGAATTAAATGAGGTGTTTGTAGAACAGTTGATTAATATGTGCCTGAACTACTAATAATCAGACAAATGAAAGCTGAAATTATTAACTCATTATACAAACATGAATTTAGCCCCTACTTCATGCCAAAAATATACTAAAACCTGGAGATACAAATGAGATATTGAGATCAACACATTAGTCAAACACCAGTGCCAAAATAGAGACAGGCAAAATATCTATTTGGAACACAAGGTGGAGGGAGAGCATTAAACTCTTCCAACAGAGACTGAAAAGGGTGAGATGATATTCCAGTTGAGCTTCAAAAACATGTCATGAGTTTTCAGACTAATAAAGTAGAAGGGCAATCCAGGCAGTGAACAATATAACAGCATGAAGGCATGCAAGGACAGTGTATTCTGGAGCACTGGAAGTAGACTTCCTCCATTTGATCAGAGTCTATATATAGGATATTACTGAGAGGCCTGGAAAGATATACAGGGCTCAATTGCCAAGTTGGGAATTTTTCCTGAGAATCAACGTCACTGGAAAAGGGAAAATATCAGAATCTGAGAGCAGGACAGAATTTTGATGGTTTATAAAAGACCAATGGAATATGCTAATATGTGACTTTGTTTCCTTTACAGAAAACTGATCTAAGTTATATGAATCCATTGAGGGAATATTTTCAGGGGCTGATATTTATATTTGAGCCTTAACTTTTGAAAGAGTAGCTAAAATCTCTGTGCAGACAATGACATCATTATTATTTATGTTGTACACTACCATTACATAAGTGAATGGATAATAGACATTTTTGAGCCTTTGAAATTATTCTATTTTTTAAATTTTTTTTAGTTGTAGTTGAACACAGTACCTTTATTTTATTTGTTTATTTTATGTGGTGCTGAGGATTGAACCCAGGGCCTAGCACATGCTAGGCAAGCACTCTACCGCTGAGCCACAACCCCAGCCCCTGAAATTATTGAATTAATACAAGCATATACAAGCTTTTATATAAGCACTTTCTAAGATCTTTTAAAGACCAGGTTCCAAACAGATATGACTTAAAAATACGGATTCCTTGGAGATTGTGATTTGTTAGTTTCAGTTTGTTCTGATTGTATTCACATTAAGAACTATATTTGTAGAACAATCCGAATACCCATTTTCCTTGAATAGATACAATTAAAGTTTATTTCAAATTACATGGTTACTCATTTGAATTACTTTTCCAAGTGGATATTTTCCTAATGGATAGTAACTTTGATTTTCTATCCTCACTAATTTTTAGGGAAACTTTTCTAATTAGGTACATTTGAATAGGCACCCAGTTATGATATGAAAATCCTTGAAGAATTTTTCTTTACCAATTTTCTGTTAAAATGCAAATATGAGCACAAAAGAATAAACATATAAAAATAACAAAGAGATAAGAAAATGATCCTGAGTTATTTTTCCCAAGATATATTTAAATTCCAAGTGAAAATACAAACCTTAGAAAATTTTCAATATCCTTTTAAACATTCCATGGTTATTAATAAAAGGGATGCCTTCCATAGAATGAGAAATCTAATTCATTTATCAAGAATTACTTAAATTATGAATGTGAGTTAGTGATGTTTAGAAATAATCTGTCCATAGTTTTTTAAAGGGCTTCTTTGTGAAGTTCCTACAAAGTGTCACTAA